TTTCCTGGATAATTCCCCATTTCCACCCCTCTAGCTTCTTTAAGTATCTCTGACCTATTTCAGCTTAACAAGTGTTCTTCCTGGTGGCTTAGACAATATCAATATAAACATAGTAAAAATCCACTTATTCTACTTACTATTTACTCATATTGAAAACAGAGCATTCAGATGTTCGCTTGACATTTGTGGGTGATTATAAAAATTGATCTGTATCTCTGGAGAATGAGTTGAAAAATCACCACCATTTCTATGGCACATAAAATCCAGACCTCCTACTCACTACCTGGATAAACAAAGTCAGGAAGAAATATAAACTCAATTGCTTGTAAATGTTCAATAGAAATCCATGTGATTCTCACTTAAAATATTTTCTCAATGAGGTTATGGCCAAAGGAGTAAGTTTACTGAAAATAAATATGAATGACAACTGCGAAGGCACTCTTCTGCTGAGCTGAATTAAATACCAACAATAGCTCTAAGGAGAAGAAAAAAAATAATTTAAGACTACTTTTCTCATTTTGTAACATCAATAATATGCATTACAATTATACAAACTCCTTAATTTAATTTGTAACCTCCTAAGAAAATTACCAGACATAAATGGAACACTGACAAAAATTGTATTTAATATTTATTTAACGAAAAATTATGAATGCATACTCTCTCTCATTAGCATACATAGAGATGGAGATCACAAAGTTTCAGAGTTGAAGGGAATTTGCGAAAACATTTTTTGAATACTCATACTGAGATTTACCTGTTTTCTGTCTACCCCAGTCATGTTACATAAACTATGGTCTTTTTATTCAACAACACATAAAACTAGATTAATAGGACTTTATAATGCAAATATTCAGACAGCAGTTACACAAATTACTGACAGTGAGGTGGCACAATAGATAACAGCAGTGGACCTGGAGTCAGAAAGACCAGAGTTCAAATATGACCTCAGACACATAACGGCTGTGTGACCATGGGCAAGTCACAACCCCTGCCTGCATAAAACTGGAGAAGGAAATGGCAAACCACCCCAGTACCCTCACCAAGAAAATCCCATGGACAATTGGTCCACGGAGTCATAAAGAGTCAGACATGACTGAATGAGTAAACAATAATAATAATGTAATACCATAAAATTAACATAAACATAGGATTTGAATTTGAAAGCCCTAATCCAGTCTATTATCTAATGTTTAAACCAAATAACTGAGGCCCAGAGAAGTTAAGGAAGTAGCTTAGCATCACAAAGTAGATCTCAGAACTTCAGCTAGAATTAGAACCTACCAGGCTATAATTCTTTCCTGACATTTCAAACTACTCATTTATTTGGATTATTTTACATAATTGAATAATAGTTATTTGGTAAATCTGTACACCCAAAACTGAACACACCTCCAAAAGCAATTGGGGAATTGATCCAATTATCTTCATAACTCTGGTCAAAATTTTTGAATGGGTTCCAATAATTGTGCCAATCGCAGTAATACCCACCCTGAAACATTAGAGCATATGAAGCATATACTACAATATATGACTGATACAGGGGGCTTTTTGTAAACCATTCTCTTCTTTAGGATCCATAGCCTTTTTTTTTTTGTAAATTACATTGTTAACAGGCAAGTTATGTAGTCTCATAGAGCTGCCTAGAACACTGATAGCCTAAGTGATTTTTAGATAATCACACAGCCAATATGTGTCCAGTTCATTATCATTACTAAAAGTAATTATATAATATGGGAAATCATTTGAGAGAAATACTTTTTAATCATCATAGTCATCGTCAAAACATTTTTGAGCAAGCCTACAAAATGATATTCATTCATTCATCTGTTCATACATCAAACATTCTTCTCAGGGACTACTGTGGGTGGTGGGTAGTGTTAGGAGCTGGGAAAGAGACTAAAATAAAGAATACAAAGCCCCATTTTCAAGGTTGTCTACAATCTAGTAACAATGATGAGATTTACCTCCAAAGAATCCAAGAGGTGAACAAAGTGTCATGAAATCTACTGAGGGAGTTGTCACTTTCAGATGCAAAGGGTAACTTTCTTCAAATTCAAAAGTCATATTTAACCAGAATTTATTAATCACCTTCTCATGCAGAAAATACCTTGATAGGGGCTGAAGATAAAAAGATGAGATTAAAACAAGACATGCCCTCAAGGGATTTGCATTCTAGTAGAGTTTAGGAGAATAGAGAGAAGATACATGTGAGTGTATGTATATATAATGGATGTAACATATCATATATAATGTAATTTATATAACATACAATTACATATTTACATAACAATTAATATAATTCAATATATAATTTGTTATTATATACAATATATATGTGTATGTAATATATGTAAGTATTTTAAGTGGCATTGTGGATAGAGCACTGAGTCTGGAGTCAAGAAGACCTGAGTTCAAATCTGGCTTCAGACACTCACGAGCAATATGACCCTGGGCAAGTCACTTAACCTTGTTTGTCTCAGGTCCTCATTTGTAAAATGAGCTGGAGAAGGGAATGGTAAACCACTCCAGGGTCTTTGCCAATAAAACCTCAAATGTGGTCACAAAGAGTCAGGCACAACTGAAACGTCTGAACAAGAACAAAATTTGAAGGCAGAAAAATTAAACCAGTGATACTTGTTCCTGAAATATGGTGAAACTGGATGCATATTTCAAAGCAATCACTCCCCCATCATATTCACTACATATTGGCAAAATACTAAAAAGAGATGATATATGTGTGTGTATGTGTGTGTGTGTGTATATACATACATACATATAATACATATATATGTATAGAGAGAGAGAGACAGAGAGAGAGAGAGAGAGAGAGAGAGAGAGAGAGAGAGAGAGAGAGAGAGAAGGTTTTTGTTTTTTGTTTTGTTTTTTTCTATCCTCTAATGGAGAGATGGGTGCAGATTGGAAAATACTATTTTATTTACCAACACATAAGAATGGCTAAAAACTGTGTAACTACAATTAGACCATCAACTCCTTGGGAGAAAGAACTCTTTTAGCCCTTATTTGTGTCTCTAGTATTTATCACAGTGCCTGGTTTATAAAAAGGTGTTTAATAAATGACACTTGACTGACTGACAGGTAAAGACATCCTCCAAAAGATGTATCATTAGAAAAAGGGGAAGATCAGTCATGATCAATAAAGAATCTGAGAACTTTGGCTCCCATTCTACCTCGGATACTTACTCTCTGTGTGACTTTAGGCAAGTCACCCCTTCCCCCGCTGGTCTTACATTCTTCATCTATTAGACAAAACAATTAAACTTGATGTCCGCTGAGGTTGGTTCTAACTCAAGAGCTATGATCTTAATGAAAGTAAGGGATAACACTGATAACAATAACTCCTACTCAGAGCTCCCGTTAAGATTTGCAGAGTACTTTGCTCATAACAATTCTGTAAGGTAGGTATAAAATAAGTATGAGCCCTAATTTAAAGATAAGGAAACTAATGCTTGGATAACTTGAGTCATAGTGTAACACGGTATAATGGATAGACCACCAGACTTGGAGTCATGAAGACTTGAGTTCAAAACCAACTTCAGATACTTAGTAGCTGTGTGACCCTGGCCAAGTCATTTAACCTGTCTGCCACAGTTTCCTCATCCATAAAATGAGGTGGTTAGTCTCTAATGTCCCTTCAACCTCTAAAACTAAGATCTTATGATTTTCCTATAGTAATTAAAGAAGCCTTTTTTTAAACAAATATTTATCCGATGTTTCTGTAATACAGCATCTTATTTTATGACATACTATTCATTTTTTTTAACAATTTGGTTTCATTAATTCATTTGTTTTTAATTAACTGAACTTCTTTGTCAAATTGTGCAATTCTGAGAACTATGTGTTTAGGAAACAAAGTGTCTGTAGCATGGTCCCTGAAATTTTCTTTAAAAAACCCAAGTGATCCTAGTAAATCAGCTATCATCAAAAACACAAAATAATTATTGAAACTGTAAGTACATTTTTCATACATGGGCAAATAATTACTATATATAATTTAGTTATTTATATGAAATATTATATATGTATTCATATAGAGAGGGAGAAAGGAAGAGAGAGAGAGAGAGAGAGAGAGAGAGAGAGAGAGAGAAGAGGAGGGTATTACACTTTCAAGAAAGAGTTCATTTAGCTATGATATGTAATATTTGATTGCACAGCCTTGGTCTTTGTCTCAATTTTGCAACATTCCAAACTTTGAATGCAAAAATTTAAAACTATGACAACTTTTATAAAAAGTTACTTATGATAAGAGTTTTTATATTCTGGAGGAAGCATTTACAGAAGTCCCTCAACTATCTGATTCTCAGTGAGTTCAATGATGTCATTAATTCTGTACTCAAGAAAAGTGTGGGATTGATTTAATCAAAGGATAATTATAGTACTTGTCATGGCAATATAATTTTATTCTTTCATTAAAGGGTGTGATCACATAGTGAAAATTTGAAACCCCATCTCATAGTGCCCTGTAAACTTCTTTCCACTTTTCTTTCTACTGTATTATTCTCTCTTTGTCAGCTCATCTCCATTTTGTTCCCTCTTTTCCTTCCCTTTCATTCCTCTCTAACCTCCCTCTCCCTTCCTGTTTCCTCCATTCCTTCCTCTCTTTTTTATCTCTGCAAATTCTCATCATTCTTGTGGATATATCCCTCATCTTTGGCAGCTTAATTCAGTAGATTTCTTTTCCTTCCTGGGACCTATACTTGGAGGGTATGCTTTGCAAATTCCTCTTTCTGATTAATTTTTTTAAAAGTAATTCTTCCGAAATCATTAAATTAGGGAGATCTGTGAATTTCTGTCAGAGTCACTGGCAACTCTGAGTGCACACAGTTGCCTAGTTTCTCAGTCTTATCAGTGTTGAGACAGATGTTTACCTGAGGTTGATATCTCCTTTTTCAGAAGATGAATCTCAGGAAATAGAACCAAACCATGGCAACCACAGTGCACAAACAGACACAGAATTTTCTTATAGAAGAACTCAAAAAGCTATGAATAGGGATTTGTTGACAATATTAACAGCATATAGCTTAGGGTAGATTTCAGAGACATGTTACTACTCAGCCAGTTTGTGAACGATTAGGGGAAATTGAGAAGTACCTGAGTGAGAGGCAACATCCAGGAGGTCTAGTTCAGACCGCCTCCAAATGAAAACTGAAGGTATGCTTTTAAGGCAGCTTTCTCTCATCATCAGATGGTCTTCATTGCTTCTTGTTTGTTCAGCTTATCACTTTCCTATTTTTCCTCATAAAAATGGTCATTAAAATTCAAACATAGGAGCACAGATTTAGAACTGGAAGGGATTTGAGAAGTCATCTTATCCAAACCCTTCATTTTATAGATGAGGAAACTGAGGCCCAGAGAAGTGACTTGCTTAAGATCACACAGGACATAAACATAATAGGAAGGATCTGAACCCAGATCCTTCATCTCTACTGTCATGCTCCCTCACATCAATAATTTTCATTCAACCAGTATTTGTTGAACACTTACAAAACTATGTGCAAGCACTAGGTGTATTAGCATAAAAATATGACTAGATCTGCCATTATCCCTATGGGGTTTAGACACTAGTTAATGCCAGTAAGAAAATGGTAAAACAATAGATAAAATTCTAAGGGATAACTATTTCATTTGGACCAGAGACTTTTACCTTTCTTTGTATCTCTCAACACTTAGCACAATTCTTAGTGCATAGTAGGTACGTAAATTTTTGTTGGCATAGAAAACCTTATATCCTAAAGAAAAATGGCATCTCTTCTACAACAGATAACCTTGGGGATTATGACCACTGAACAAAACAGTTGATACCCTTGAACTTGGGATCTCTAGCCAGTAAGGTCACCACAGCACTCTATCTATATGATGCCACCTCTCAAGTCATTACCATAATATTAACTTTATCTCTTTACCTAACCAAGCATTATATTTCTTTTCCTGGATAATTGTTCTCTCTCCCCTGTACTTTTTTTTGGTTTCCACTGATAAATCTTTGAAAATGTGCATTTTTTCTTGATGTCAACATCCTATTTTACAATCCTGTGTACTTAGGGTGTGGTGGTGGTGAAGCTGCTCAGCTCTTTTATCTTTATTCAGCTAGATGTGGGCTACAACACTCTGGAGTGAGATAAAAGAAGATAAAAGTGTATTTTGGGAAATATTTCACCTATTTTTAAATCCTGACTGCTACTTGGTGTCTTATATTAAGGCATCAACATTGGATACAGCACTACACCTGGAAGCAGGAAGACTTTGGTTTAAATCCTGCCTCAGAAACTTACTAGCTATGTAACCCTGGATAAATCTACTTAACCTCACTCAGCCTCATTTTCTTCATTTTTAAAAAAGGGATAATAATAGAAGGTACCTCTCAGTGTTGTTATGAAGATAAAATGAGATAATTTGCATAAAATGCTTTGGAAAACCTATATGAATGCTATCTACTATTCAAAATCTAAAGACGTTGATTATTTTCATCATTAAAATGATGGTGTTGATGAGATGTCCTGTAAGGTCCTTTCTGGTTCTAAAATTTATAACACTAGGAAATGTTTTGCTTTGTTTTAATTTTCAATATCATTTTTTCATTACCTTCATGTCTATATACTTCTCCCCCACCCCAGCCAGTAAGCTATCCTTTTTAAATAAAGGATGAAAAAAGGATGAAGGAGAAATGTTGTTCAGCAAAAACTAGGCAACACATTAACAGAGTTTGACAGTATTGTATTCAACATTCTACAACCATTGTCTGTCTCCTCTGCACTGTGGAAGAAGGTACCTTTTTTCTCTTTTCTCCTTCAGTGACAATCTCGGACATTATAATTACATAGTATCTGACTAGGTGATTTTTAAAAATTAGGTATCATAAACCCTTTGTTATATTTTTAGATTTTTCAACATGTTACCTATTTATTTTAAAAGGATGTACATAGTTGTTTAAATGATGTCTCCACCATAGGAACATGAGTTCCTTGAGGGCAGAGCTTGTGTTCCAGCCTTTCTTTCTACCCATGGTTGCACACAGTAGGTGCATAATAAATGTTTGTTGATTGAGTGACTAAATGTGGTTTATTTTTACTTCCTTTTGATTTCAGCTCCTTCATCCTTATATTATTGTAATTAGAGTCCTAAAGCCCATTGGTATGGGACTCTCCTCACTGCTACCAATTAGTGCATTGGCTTGTATAAGGGGTAAGGCAGAGTGGCACAGAGGAATATATCTAGTGTAACAAACTGGGAAAAGGGACATGATGGAGACTACTACCTCCTCTCATGTTGGTTTATGCCTGGAATCATACACTCCCTTTAACAGCCTAAAGTGAGATCGGTATTGTCCATCTTTTCTCTTGAAGCTGGGACCTAGAAGCATCCAAAGATCTCACAGATTCAAGAAACCTGAAGAACCTAGGGCTCTCTTCTCTCCCCTCTCACTAACTCTGCCCTGCCCCTTATACAGGTCCAAGTCATTGATCTCCATCAATGAAGAAATAGTTCCATATCTATGGGCTTTGGGACTAGAATTATACTGTCAATTCCTCATGAATTTGAAAGCAATTATTGTCATTATATTTTGATAGAGTCATGAGAACCAGGATGAAAATTAGCATTTTAAAGCTACCTTACTATCCTAAAATAATGTTTACTATATGAAAAATGCTGAAATATATATATATATATACACACACACACATATACACACATATATATATTTAAATACCAGACTCTTAAAACCTAATACGACAATTGCTGGTTAGGTGTCAGTGAAGGAAACAATCCAGAGTTGAATTTGGCACTTCGGCAAAATCCCTTTTTCCAGTTTATATAGAGGGAGAGTGCTTTAGCTGAGGAAAAATAGAAGCCAGAGTTTACAGTCTGGAGAATTTCAAATTAGTATGCTCTTTGGGCCTCTCCACTGCACCTCACTTTTCTTTTATTGGGTCACCCAGCATATTTTGGCAACATGCATTTTGTTTTTTTTCGGTCTCCTTCTATTCCACCCCCTACCCCGATTTAATAGGGTAAACAGCTACACGGGTAAAATTTAAATGACATTTCTTCGCAAGAATAATTTCAAGTTGCAATGGGATAACAATTAGTCATCACAATTTTGATGTGGGAGGAGGGAAAAGTCAGAGATTTACACATCATATTGCAGATTATAATCAGAAAAGCTAGAAAAATAAAAAGCAGATAGCATTTAAAATGTACCATGCCCTCACCTAGGTCCTGATGTAATCAAATGACAAGATTTTGAAGGACCCCTGTTCTAACAGGTTGATAAATGTGTGTGAAGACATTGGAATGAGGATAATGAACGTTTCTATCATAAGCATCTAATTTTAAGTGGCTTGATGATCCAGAATCTTGAGTTTAGCAAATAAATGCACTTAAACGAGTTTACTATATATCCTGAATGGTCACAAAATGTTGGCTGTTTTGTGCTGTGTGGTCAGTCAGTGAAAAATTAAAGTCTTCTCCCCCTATTTCTTTCCACAAGCATAATTTGAGTTGCTTAGAGATCCAAAGGAATATATTACTGTTATATGACTATTTCTCTTCTCCAAGAAGTGAGCAACAATCACAACTGATTGTCTTCTGATGCTCTAGACAATCATCTAATATTCCTTGAATAATGGATGTAACTAGACCTTCTGTTCAATTGGACCCCCCTCTTCAGGCCTACCAAGGGAATTCACCTTTGATTATCTCAATCAAAGATAAGATGGCAGAGATCTGTGCTGTCTCTGTCAGGGCACCAGCTTCAGTAGAATTTGCAAAATGCTCAAACTTTTCTATATTGAAGACTTCAGTTTTTCTTATTCCCATTGCAAGAATTTTAACTTAAATAACATTTGAATATTATTACAGAAGCCTTTAAAACAGGTTTATTCTCTTACCTGATCTATTTAAGATAGCAATCTGACCAAGAGCTTGCTTAAGATTTCTCTTTGAGGGCTGATTTGTGTCCTCAAGAATAACTAAACCCAGGTTCTTAAAAATAAAGAAAAAGAAAAACGCAGGTGAAAAAATCCTTGTGGAATTAACAAGTACCAACAAACACCTATTGTTTTAGGATTGGTAACAAGGTAAGATTTTAAAAGCCAAAAACAGCAGATTTCTTGCCAGAACATTCTATAATCGCTGCATGTTGGAATTGAGTTGTAATCTCTTTAGAAGAATCACGTCATTTGGAGTGAAAGAAAAAATCAAATGTTGGTACCTCCACCACTCAGGATATTAGTAGCTCACGTTTATGTATGTATGTATGTGTGTGTGTGTGTATATGTGTATAATATGTATGTGTATGTGTAAGTGTATGTGCATGTGCATGTATATGTGCATGTGTGTGTGTATGTGTGTGTGTGTGCATATATATCCCCTTAAAGTTTGCAAAGCACTTTATACATGTTATCTCATTTGATCCTCAAAACAACCTAGAAGATAGATGTTATGATTATCCCCATTTTATAGACAAGGAAACTGAGGCTGAGAGAGGTTAAGTGACTTGTCTCAGGTCATACTACTAGTAAGTGCTAGGGGTAGAATTCAAGCATGTACCTCCCTGACTCATAGTCTACCTACTATACCACTTAACTCATTGTAATCTTTTCCTGTATTCCTCATTTAAAGGATCAGTCAACAGTAAGAACATCCTGTAGAAATGTTTGTCTCTGTAATAAAGTAACTGCAGTTTAAAAAAAGAAAAGGACCTGACATTCAGTCGTTCATTCCAGAAATTGCTTTCAGATCAGGTATGTGAAAATATGGAAGCAACATTCAGGTGAGATGTATAATAAGCATATGTATTTTACAATTGCTTTAGAGAAAGCAAAAGCCTAAGTCTTTGTAATGGAGAAGGAAGAATGGTACAACCTTGGTGGGACAAAAATTCAGCAAAATAAAAGTCTCACTAAGGCAGCATGAGGGCAAAATATTTCCAGTACCTAAAACCTGACTTTATTTAAGCACTAGTTTACAAGGCATACAAGGAAGTTTGCGGCAATCTAGACAGTACAATGTTTCTAATGATAACCCCAATTCTTAGGGCTATTTTCATCTTTCTTTCATACCAGCCACTACTCTCCTTCTTCTATATGAATTTTTAGGGTCACCAGGTCTAAAGCAGACAAAGGCACATGGTAGGCATTTAATAAATGCTTGTTGAATGATGACACTTGCGGTCCTTTATAGCTCGGAGATGCCATAATTCCACATTTGGGGAATAGGAGGGAAAGCTTCATTGATTTTTCGTGATTCCCCGTGTTTTCTTGAATCTGACCTATTCCAAATAGAAGTCATACTTAGAGCAGGAAGCACCAGGAAGGAGCCTGGTACAATGAATGCAACACTGTCCTTATCATTGGAGACGTGGTTTTGAATCTCTGCTCTGGCACTTACTCAAGCTGTAGATGTGGACAAAGCATTTCACCTTTGTGCATCTTACTTTCTTCACATATGAAAAAGGAATGAAAACATTCACTCTTCCCACCTCACAGAGCTGTTATAAGAATTGCACTGTGTGAACTATAAAGTTGTATGAATGAATATAAATACGTTATCATTATTATTATCTCATTTCCATAATTTTCATTAGAATGGGTAGTTACTCCACCAGCACTAATGAATATTATGTATATGTATATGTATGTATGTATGCGTGTGTGTATGTATGTATATATATATATATATATATATATATATATATATATATATATATACATACACACACACACACACACAATACAGGGTCTTCTTTAGGTTCCATGCCAAAATCAATCATTTGTATAATCAACAAACATTTGTTAAATGACTGCTGTGTGTCAGGCCTCACCATAGGTCCTAGAAATAGGAAGACAACGGTGAAACAATCTTTTTTTTTTTCCTCTGGCGGGGCTTACATTGTATTGAGGGAGATTAGATAGGTAGATAGATAGAGTGTTTATTAAATCTTTATTCTATGCCAGACACAGTACTAAATGCTAGGGATGTAAATACAAGCAAACAAAATAGCTCAAGTCCTCAAATACGTTCTAATTGAATGCATTCTAATTATGGAAGACAAAAAAGAGGCATGGTGTGGAGATGTAGGGGTGAGATGGGGTTAGTGGCAGGGAGTCCTAGTTTCCTGTAAGAAAAGGGAAAAACTTACCTATCACAGCTGGGGGAACCAGAAGGGGAGTCTATGGTTGCTATTGGGGTGTGGAGAATGAAGATAGTGGCCACAATGTAGCCAATATGGTGTGGAGATGTCTGAATATTGTATGTGTGCATGTCTACAAAATAAATACAAGGTAATTTGGAGGAAGGAGGCACTAGCAATTGGGGGGGGTAGAAGGGCAGATCAAGAAAGACTTTGTGTAGCAGGTAATGCTTAAATTGAGCTTTGATAGAAAGTAGGGATTCCTAGAGGCCAAAGTAATGAAGAGATGAAGGAGTGCATTTCAGTGATGCGGAACACAGTAAAGTCATGGAGACAAGGGATGGAGTATCATGTATAAGGTACTACAAGAAGACGTTTAGCCTAACTACAATGTTTGTGAAGGCTTGAGTAGTATTTTGGAGCTGAATTGTGAAGGATGTACTTTTTAACAAATACCATTTTATTGTATTGATAACTTTTGTCTTTATATCACCTAAATTTACCCTTGTACCTCTCTCTCTTACTTCTACAATATAGTTTATAAAATAAAAAGAAAAGTTATAGCACAAAATTTACATGTGTGTATATATACATATATGTACATATTATATATTATATTGTAATTATATATTATTATTATATATTATATTATATATAATATTCTGCATTAAGACAGGTAGTTCTCTTGCTGTCTGTCTGTCTCTCTCTCTGACACACACACATACACAAACACACACACATACATACAAACAACTTAGAAAAGAAGGTGGTTAAATGCGTCGTATATTTTCTTGGAGGCCAAGTTTCTTCTTTGTAATATTACAACATTGTTTTAAAATTATTTTAAATCTTTTTTACATTGCTGTAGTTGTAGTGTATATTGTTTTCTTGGTGCTGCGGAATTCATTGTGTTATCACTTCGTGTGAGCATTTCATGATTGAGAAGGACTTAGAACTTTGTGTTTGATCTCCAAGGTAAAAGGCAGTCATTACGGTTTCTTAAGTAGGGGAGTAATAATGTCAGGCCTGTGCTTTAGGGATACCACTTTGTAGACGTAGGAATTATGTATCATAGAGGGGAGAGATTTGAGGCAGGGAGACAAAATCAAAGATATAATAGTCCAGGTGAGAGGTGATGAGAACTGGAACTAGAATGTAGCTGTGAGTGGAGAAAAGGGAATTGACCCAAGACGTATTGTGAAAATAGAGACAATAGAATTGGATACCTGATTGGTGATGTGTGTCAAGTGATAATGAAGAGCCAGGGATAGCACAAAAGTTGCAAATGTAGGTAACTATAGCCAACCTAGTGATTTGCCTTACTGAAATTAGTTGGGTTGGTTATTACACATAAGACATATGAAGTATCACTGGACTATATTAGAATCTGTAGTAGTTCTGATAAAAAAGCTTTGATAAAACTTTATAGAACTTGTTTTCTGTTCATCAAGTATAGCCTTTGAGAACCCAGACTCATATCATGATGAGGCATCAGACTAGGATTTTATGTCTATTGATCATCAGTTCTGTATTGTGCTCCTTACATTGTTCCAGTTGGGGAATGCACCAAAGAAGACAAGATTGCTTCTAGAAACAATAGAACTTTTGCTTTTGCTTCCCATAAATTGCAGAGGGAAGGTGAAAAACAAACAAACAGAGGTGAATTAGTCAATCATGGGAAAGGTGAAGACAACAATCATATCAGATAACATTTTGCGAAGGATTGGTAATTTCATCATTGTGAAGCTCTCCCTTTGGGAACATTCTCTGTTAACAGAGATTACAATTCATTCACAAGTATCTGGGTAAACCACTTAAATTCACTTGTTAAGTAAACCCCAGTTTGCAAAATAAGGGGGTTGAATTTTATGATTCTTAATATTACCCTCAGGTATAAATCAATCACATCTATTTGTAGATGTAGAAAAGCCCTAAGAAATTACTAAAACACATAGAGGTTAAAGGAAGCACTGAGGACCTCATTGCTACTGACTGCCAAAGGAGGCATTTGAAACCAGGTCTTCCTGAATAAAAATCCATTAACTCTAGTCATTATTCCATTTATAGACAGCTAACAGTAGATAGAGTGTTATGCATGGAGTCAGGAAGAATGGAGTTCAAATATGGACTCAGACACTCAGAAAGTAATATGTGACTTTAAGTAAGTCATTTAACCTGTGCCTGCCTCAAGTTCCTCATCTATGAAATGAGAATAATAACAATCCCAGGATTACTGTGAGTATAAAGTAAGCTAATATTTTATTATAATAGTTTAGTGCTTAACTAAGTGTTAAAAGTGGGGAAAAGGAGAGTATAGAATAAAATTTATCAAGCATGTGCTATGTGTCAGGCACTGTGCTAAGAACTTTACAAATATTGTAAATAGCTATTATTATTCTACCTGACATATCATAACATTGAAAATAAGTCCAATGCCTTATGTGGCATGAGATATTGTAATTCTATGCAGCCTGTCTTTTTTTTAACTTCCCACCTTTCTAGTCCCTAGTACAGAGTTCTATACAACGAAAAAGCCTGATAATTTTTTTATTGTTTAAATGGGAATTCTGAAGATTAGAAAAAAAGGTAGTAGAAGCACTCTTAATAATAATGACAACCACAAAAAAAGAAAGGGAGTTGGGACAAATAACTTCAAAGGGAATTGGGACAAGTAAATTCAAGGGGAGTTGGGACAAATAAGAAGAAATAATTTTCTTCGAATATTTTGTGTTCATGCTTAATGTTGTCTTTGTATTATTATACACAAAATCTATATGCATAAATATTGTGTACAAATCTAGGAACCACATATTTGAGGAAGGATACTGATGTTCAGAAGAGGTGATCAGAATGATGTGGAGACTTGACTAGAACATAAAAGAAATATGAAGGTGGACTCAATAGGATTTGGCAACTGGTTGGATATGGTTGAAGGGACTATGAATGTTGAGTCTGAAAAAGAGAAGATGAAGAGGTGGGAGGCATAATTAATTCTGCATTCAAATATTTGAAGAGCTATGATGAGAAAAATGAATTGTTCTGCTTGGCAACAGAAGACAGAATCATAAGCAATGGGTAGAAGTTAATGACAAGAAGATTTTGGTTTGCTATAATGGAAACTTTCTAACAGAGTGGAGGGGGGTAATCTCAGCAACGTGGCATTCTTCAAGCAGATAATTATAGCAGGAGATGCAAATTATAGACCATGGAAGTGGCTGCTAAATCAACTGTGAGTTACATTCATAGTTGTGTGAGGTGACTAAATGAGTAATACTCTTGGATAGGAGATCTCAAGATAGAAATGTTTATATTAAATTATATATTAAATAGCATTTATGTGCATAGCATGGCATAGTGGAAAAACAAGTTGCCTCAGAGTCAGGAAAAACCGTCATCAACTTCTAACTCAGGTACCTCCCTGAACAAGTCAATTAAGTTCCTTGAAGTTCAGTTTCCTCATCTGTAAAATGGAGATATTAAGCCTCTACCCCATAGGAATATTATAAGAATAAAATGAATTATATATATGTATATATATATACCTATATCTATATCTATACCTTTAAGCACTATGTAGATGTGAGCTATTTTTATTATTATTATTAGTTACTAATATTCAATAAAACCAAGAAATATGAAATAGTCAAGTTTATAGGCTTTTGAAAATATTTTTTCAGAGAAATATAGATAGAGGATTAGATTCATATTAAGGGACTATTTTTATGAGTAGAAAGAGTATAAATTAAAAAAAAAAGATAATGGAATTCCAACTAGGTTCTGGATAGTTTACTCATCTTACAATATAACAACATACATGATCAAAACAAAACAAAACAAAACAAAAAACCCCACAAAACAAACAAAACCCCCAGAGATACCACTTATCCACATTACAAAAACAGGCTTAAGAACTGTCTTCTTGCTTTTGTTTTCTCCTCCTCTAGAAAAATCCATTTTGGAGTGGGGCAAGAAATATACTTTTTACTTTCTCCCTGTCATGTGATCATCTCTTCATTACAAGGAATGGCCTGTGCAGCTGGGTCCAGAAGTAATTGGACTCTGACCACTGCTTCCTTAACAAATCAGAACAAAGGACAACGAAAACACACAGTAGTCAGAATACTGAAGATAATTGAAAAGAAGAAAAGAGAAAATTGCAAAAGGAATTGGGTTTGGCAGGAAGGTTTCCTCTGCTCAAATGTGATGTAAAAATATAATTTCCATTTTCCACCAGCATATCATATGTTCCACTCAAAGTGACGTCCGAACTCTTGATTCAGGATGTCATTTGGGAGTACCCACACATTACTTTGCTATTAACTAAGGTTGTTTGATTTATTATTTTGTCACTGTCCTCTCCAAAAATATAAAATGGAGGGTTTCAAATACCATCACAGCTACTAAAAAGGTGAACAATTATGATTTTAGGTGTAAGCTCATTAAACAATTATGTTATAGGCGAGAAGGAAAGAGTTTTCTAGTTAAAAGTGAGGTGTAGTTTTGTGTGATAGGAAAAGAAAGATTACTGGAGAATTATAGCCAACTAAATTCCAGAAATTCAATTCTATAAGTAATTTACTAAATATGTATCAGGTACACAGTAAGGCATCAGAGATTCAGAGACAAAATGAACCAATTTCTGCCCTTGAAAAGCTTACAATCCTATTGAGAGGAAATAATTTATGATCTTAGTATTATGGGATCTATAGTTGAAAACGATCTCTGAAATTACCAGGGGTGGGGAACCGGCAGCCTTGAGGCCACACGTGGCCTTCTAGGTCCTTAGGTGTGGCCTTTTGACTAAGTCCAAGTTTTACAGAACAAATGCTTTTATTAAGGGGATTTGTTCTGTGAAGTTTGGATTCAGTCAAAGGGCCTCACTTGAGGACCTAAAGGGCCATATGTGGCCTTGAGGACACGGGTTCCCCTCCCTTGAATTCTAGGCCAACTCTTTCATTCTGCTGATGAAGAAACTGAGGCCCAAGGTCAAAGGCAATAAACATCAGATGGAACTTGAAACCACGTCACATGACTTCCTTGTACTAGGCTACTGCTATTATATGTATAAATATAAGTAAACAAAATATATACCCAGTAATTTCTAAGAGAAGGCAAAAGTCTATTATGATGGGCAAGCCATTAAAAATTGTACTGGGGTTCCAAGAGGATATGATGATAAGATAAAGATAACACGTGGATGAGGCTGATATGGAGGAGTCTGAAAGAACAGGGAGTGGTGGTCAGGAAGGGAAATTTCAACCTAGTCAGTCTGCTACTAAGTAGCTCAAGGAAAATTTTTCCCACCTGAAATGAATTAAAATCTCAAAATTTGATTCCCCATATTTTAAGGGGGTTATACTATGCATCTGGTCAGACTGGAAAATATGTGTAAATGTACAGGAAATAGTACCATGTTATTAAACACTCAGGATTTGAATAGCTTTGACCCACATAATTGCATTTATTTGAGACTATTTGCCTGACTCCCCCAACCTTCCCCCCTAATAAAATGTAGAATTAAATGATTTTAATATATGCCCACCAGGAATCCACCAAAAATCTGCCTTAAGCAGGAAAGATTACATGAAAGCAAAAAAAAAAATGTAAGGAGGATAATTAATGTGAACATCATTTCTCATTAGGCAAATTTTTAGATCATAAGATATCTTTCACTACATTTCATTTCCCAGGATCAGTCAAACTTTTTAATGGAAGCTTTTGTTAAAGATCTCTGAAACCTTAAGATGCTTACTAAAATGATGAGACTTCTAAGAAGAAAAAAAAAAAGCCTGACCTCCTAGGAAGATAAAGGAAAACTTTTGATAGATCTTTCTGATTGTACTTGCTTCTGGGATGGGTAAGGAAAAAAGAAAGCATTTTTTTGGCTCTCATATATATAGACACATCTCGCTGAAAAGAAAGTACATGGGAGGTAAAGTTTGCCGCCAGAAGGGTGGGGTACCATGATAACTATCTTGGGTGAGAGATATAAGAAGGGTAGACACAGAGCTGGGCCTGATGAATAATAAATCTTGGCATGTAAAAAAAATATTCTAGATACAGAGTCCTCAACTTAAAATACTGATGTAATGTTGGTAGTTCAGAATAATAGTAGGCTTACCTTCCTTTGCTCTTTCAGACAAAAAGATCATTGAACTGCCCTGTTTTCTAGTCTGTTCTCCACTCTAATGGCAAAAACATAAGAACTTAGAAACTGCAAATACCCACCTAACCTTGTACAGTCAATTGTCTATAGCACACACAGACACACAGACACACACACACACACACACACACACACACACACACACAGAGAAATAAAGCATTTTTCTTTTGTGATCTTTCTCTTTTTATGCTTTTTATAGCATTTTCACTAGACCTCCTATGACTGTAAATCTTGTTCTATATTGAACTTATTTCTGTCCATGACATCATAGCTATTAATAATAAGCTACCTGAGGGCAGTGGTCATTTTAAGTGTCCATCTTGGCATCCCACGTGCTTGCATATATAAGTAATAAAAGATCCTTATTTCACTCCTAGTGTTATAAATCCCTTCACTGATGCTGTGACTATCTGTATATGACATAGTAGAAAAATCCTATGGATTTGTCCAAAACTTGTTTTACACTGTATCCTCTACACTTTTACACCTTGCACATGTAAGTGGTAGCAATTAATGAATTACCATTGAATTTAAATAAATCATTTGATAAAATCTAAGATTTTTGAGGTGAGGGATAATTTGTTCTTCATCTTTGTATTACCAATATCTAGCATAATATATCACACATAGTAGATGATTAATAATCCTTGTTGATTGAATGATTGCACCCCTCTCCCCCCAATATATCTGTTTACTTTTTTCTTTCCATTTTCTCTCTGGGACTTGGATAATGGATGAAAAGCTGATATAAACAGTTCATCTTTATTCCCACACACACACACACACACATATATATAAAATGCAATATATTTGTTTATGTATATATGTATGTATGTATATACATGCATATGCATATGTACATACATACATACATACACATATGGGCCAGCTAGTTGGTGGAGCAGATAGAGTTGCATGCCTGAAGTCAGGAAAACATCTTCCTGAATTTAAATCTAATTTCAGACACTTTAGCTATATGATCCTGGGAAAGTCGCTTACCTCAGTTTCATCTGTAAAACGAGCTGAAGAATGAAATCCAAACCACTCCAGTATCTCTTCCAAGAAAACCCTGAATGGGGTCACAAATTCAGACACAACTGAACAACAGGTACCTACTATGTGCCAGGCACTGTGCTAAGCGCTTTACAAATATTACCTCATTTAATACTCACAACCACTCTGGAGGGGGTAGATGCTATTATTATTCTCATTTTACACTTGAAGAAACTAAGGCAGAAAGAGTTTAAATGATTTGCTGAGGGTCATACAAGCTAGCGTCTGAGGCTAGATTTGATTTCAGTTCCTCCTGATTCATGGCCAACACTGTATCCACTATACCACCTCGCTGCTCTTACTTCTCTTACTGAGGCCAGCTATCTTTACTCTGCTCCATTGCCTCTCATAAAGCATTAGTAATTTTTAAGGTAATAAACAAACTCTCATTCAGCATATTCCTTTACTGAAAGTAAAAGGAGAACATTTCTTCCTGGGAAGGAAGGAAGGAAGGAAGGAAGGAAGGAAGGAAGGAAGGAAGGAAGGAAGGAAGGAAGGAAGGAAGGAAGGAAGGAAGGAAGGAAGAAAGGAAGGAAGGTAGGAAGAAAGAAAGAAAGAAAGAAAGAAAGAAAGAAAGAAAGAAAGAAAGAGAAAGAAAGAAAGAGAAGAAAGAAAGAGAAGAAGATAGGAGAGGCAGAAAGGAAGGAAGGATGGAAGGAAGGAAAGATTGAGTGAAATAAAAACACAAAATCTAAAAAATTACACTAACATGACAAAAAAAGTGAAAAGTAAGAGAAGGTGAAGTATTGTGGTTTATTCCCACAGAATTAACTGCATAGCTCTTTAAAAAAGAATCATAAAAAATCCACCAAGTTAGTGAAGATCTAAAATATACATAAAAGGGAAACAAAAAACAAAACAAACAAGCCAAAATGCGTCATCAGCTATGTTCTAAAGCATTTGTATTTACTTTGGCAATCAGCTTAGATAAAGTAATACAAGTCTTTAAGAATGCCTTTCAAGCTCTGAGCTGGACAGGAATTTAGGGCTCTGTTTGTCCAAATCATGCATTTTTTCATAAGAGGAAATAGAGTCCAAAAAAGTTAAGTGGCTTTCTCAAAATCACAATGGCCAGCTAATGCCAATTGGAAGAGTAAGACTCATGTCTCCTGACTGCCTGTGCATTGACTCTTGATTTTTTTTTAAATTCATTTTTAACTGAAATACAAAAGAAAAAAAAGAACATTTCCATAAACACAATACAACATAAAAAGAAGATTCAATATAAAACCATGGATTTCCATTTCACAGTTTACTTTTTAAAAAAAACATGTAATAAATACTACGTATTGTTTTCAAAGCAACCCTAAATTTCTATGCTTCCTTCTAGGTTTTCTTTTGCAGTACCTTGACACCTAACCATCATGTGACATAGACAATTAATTTGCTTTGTGTGTGAGCCTCAATTTCCTCTTCTGTGTAATAGGTGCAATAATACACAGATCGTATGTGATGGAGGTTATAAGTTCTAAAAGTGAGCTACAACAACCACCATGATTCTTTATACTACACCAGGGTTCCTTTACCTGAGGTCTGCGGACTTTTGAAAAATACTTTGATAACTATGTTTTAATATAATTGGTTTACTTTGTCCCATATATTTTAATTTTTCCTCTAGAAAACATTTTTCTGAGGATCAATGAATGTATTAATAAATTAAAATTATTAAACCAATCTATTGATTTAATAACAATAAACTAAATTTATTATTTAATAATAAATATGTATCAAGGTTTTTTTTTTCACATTCGGGCACTGTGCTAAGCACTGGAGATACAAAAAAGGCAAAAACTAACTGTTCTTGCCCTCAAGGAGTTCACAATCTTATGGAAAGAAACAACTTGCTAACACCTATGCACAGACAAGATTCAGACATGGCATATGGAAGGCAGTCTCAGACAGAAGCCATTAGTGTTAAGGGGGACTGGGAAAATAATCTTGGATAATGTGGGATTTTAGCTGAGACTGGAAGGAAATCAGAGAAGCCATGAGCTGGAGGTGAGAAGGGAAAGCATTGCAGGCATAGGGGACAGCCAGAGAAAAGGTCCAAGGTCAGGAGATAGGGTGTTTTGTGCAAAGAATGTCAAACAGGCTAGTGTCATTGGCTTGCGGCATTCTTAGAAGTGAAAAAGATATAAACGGGTTAGAAAAGTAGGAAAGGGGAAGTCAATGAAGGGCTTTAAAAGACAAAGGATTTTAAATTTGGCCCTGAAGGTAACAGGGACTATATTGAAAAGAATGCCATGGTCAGGTTTGTGTTTCAGGACAACCAATTTAATACCTGAGTGGCAGATAGTCTAGATGAGGAGTGGTGAACCTGTGGCACATGTGGCCCCTAGGTCCTCAAGTGTGGTCCTTTGACTGAATCCAAACTT